GTGTGTGTGTGTGTGTGTGTGTGTGTGTGTGTGTGTGTGTGTGTGTGCGTGTGATGTATGTGGCACATATCAACTGAGTCTGATGGGAGAATAGCCAGCGCTGCACATCTCCATTGCCTTTTCTCTGCTTATAGACCCCCCACGCAAACCCACGCTTACTGCCTTGGTCGACGTGGAGGCTGGTAGGTTGGGCCTCCTCTTCTGCAGAGTGGACAGTGACCCACCGGCTGATCTGAGGCTGCTCCGAGGAGACCAGCTTGTGGCCACCTCTCTGGGTGGGTGTGGATGTGGGCAGCACTATCCCCGGGCTCAGGCAGCCTCCAGTCCCAATTCCCTTCGTGTGGAGATCCGTGATGTGGTGCTGGAGGATGAAGGGGTGTACACATGTGAGGCCACCAATACCCTTGGCAATTCCACGGCTTCCGTGGCCTTTGAGGCCCAGAGTGAGTGTTTGGGAAGATGGCCTCAGGGAAGTTGGAGAGATGGATGTTTGGGTGGATTGATGGAGAGATGGAATGGAGGACCGAGGACAGGGAGTTAGGAATAGTCTAGGGGGAAGGAGGAGGGGGCTTAGTGGGGAGGATGGGTGCTAGTGTGGCCATAGCCATGGGGTCACTACTTGGGAGAATGGGTCCTGGTAAGTCCAAGGGACATTTGAATGAGGCTGAGCGATGTTACAGCCTTGGATTGAACTATCTGTGGACCTAGCGAAAAAAAAAATGGTCCTAGGAAAAGAGGAACGTGTCTAGAATGAGTTTTACTATGCTCAGGGTGTTCCTTAATTTCCTCATTTGTGAAAGGGGCTGTTGAATTCAATTGCTATGGTTGAATTGCGAAGGACTTTCCAGTCCTAACATTGCATGGTACAAATGTCCAGCCTTGGTACTGACGAGCTATGGCATCTTACCAGCACTCATATCTGAGTTAGGTGATGGGTTTCCTGCATGGAGGTAGAGGGATAGACAAAATCAGGGCTATCTCTGATATCTCTTGGGCGCAGTCTTGCATGGAGGCCAGGGGAGAGAGGATGTGATTGTCAGTCCCATCTTTTGTGGCTGGGAGGACCGGACACAATTAGTTGTGGAGGCAGGAGAATGATCCTCATGACCTTAACTTCAGGCATCCCTGACTCCGTGACTTTGATCTCCTCCCTAGGTACCCGTCTGGTCATCCTTCCATCAGCTACCGTGAAGGAGGGTGACGAGGCCAATCTGACCTGTGTTGTGAGCCGGGAGTCAAACAACAGTACTATGAGCTTCACTTGGTACCGGGATGGGGCCGAGTGGGACCAGAGGTCACAGGAAGCTGTGATTCTTCAACCTGTGGTTAGGACAGATGCTGCCCTTTACTCCTGCCATGTTGGTACTGAAATAGGGGAGAGGCGCTCCCCTGCAGTGGCCCTGCATGTGCTGTGTGAGTGAAGGGCACAGGGGCAAACTAGGCATGGATTAGAATCTGAATGAAGAAGGCGGACGAGGGTGGGGAGGGTGAAGAGGGATAGAGTGACTGGGAGGATGAGGCTTGGTCTGAGGCTAGCTCTGGTGTTGGGGCCGAGGCTAGCCCTGGCAATGGATGGGCCAGGCTCGGGCTATCTGAGTGTGGTTTAGGGCACAGTCAAGATATGAAGCATTGGCCAGATGTGGTGTTTGGGGGTGGGCTGTGTTGGGGAAAGGGTTTAGGCCAGGGGAGTATCCCTGGGATTAATTGCCTATGTGATTTTAATTTTATCTTTACAGTACAAATATTCTTTTTTCCCATTTAAGAGGTGAGGAAACAGGCTTAGAAAGGTTAAGGACTTGGCCAGTGGTCACATAGTGTAGAATAGTGTGAAGAAAAGCACTGGCTTTGGAATAAGACCTGACTTTGAGTCCCACCTTTGTCCACTGACTAGCCATGTGACCACGGGAAAGTCACTTAACTTTTCTAGGCATCTCGGCGTGCCATAGTGTATACTGAATTAGGCCTAGAGTCAGGAAGACTCATCTTCATGAGTTCAAATCCAGTCTCAGATACTTACTAGATTTGTGACCTTGGGCAGGTCACTTAACCCTGTTTGGCTCAGCTTCCTCATCTGTCAAATGAGCTGGAGAAGGAAATGGCAAACCACTCCAGCATTTTTGCCAAGAAAACCCCAGATGAGGTAGTGAAGAGTCGGACGTGACTGAACAATGACTTTTTTAGATACATTTCCTTCCTTTCTGGAAGGAGGGCATTGGATGAGATGACCTCTGTCCCTTCTAGCTCTGATGTTCTGTAATTCTGGCCTAGGACGTCAGAGGCAGTAGGGAAGTCTTTCAGGATGTAGAGGGTTTGTCTGGGACCAGTCTGGAACATGGGGCTGGGTTTGGGGAGCTGCTAGAATGGGGGTTGGAGCTTAGGTTGGGCTGTGTTGTAGTTATTCTTAGGCTACGATAAGGGTATGCCTAGGTAATGGTTTTGGGGAGGCGGCTTAATCCTACCTCTCTTCCCCCTCCAGATCCTCCAGATTCCCCCCAGCTCTCTGCCTTCCTAGACACCACCGAGGGCCGAGTGGCCGTGTTCCTCTGCACCGTTGACAGCAGTCCCCCTGCATCAATCACCCTGTTCCATGGTGAGCGGCTGCTGGTTTCCAGCCTCGGCTCCAGGGCTTTGGAGGGCAGGCAGCTCTGGGTACAAGCTGGCCCTAACTCCCTGAGGGTGGAAATCAAGGACCTGAGACTAGAAGACACCGGGAACTACCGATGCCAGGCCACTAATGCTCATGGCTCAGCCTCCACCACGATTTTTTTTCAAGTTCATGGTGAGTGTGTCTCTCCTCTCTCCCTTGGTGCTCCCTTCTAGGCACCTGAGAGGTGAACTTGGAGTCAGGAAACACTAACTACATGACCAGGGGAAATCACTTTACATGTCTGAGCCTCAGTTTCCTTAACTAAAATGGGCTAGCAATACTTGTACTTTACAGAGGTTTTGAAAGAATTAAGTAAAATAATGTATATGAATTACCCAGTGCTTAGCATAGTGCCTGGCACAGAGTAGGCACTTAATAAATGTTCATTGGTTGATTGATTTTTTTTTATTGGACCTGTGAGGGAAGGCAGTCAGAAAAGTACATGGAAAGGGTGGCTTAGGGAGCAATGTTATTAGACAGGAGGGCCAATATGTGAGAGAGAGAGGGCAAGGATGAAGGGGAGTTTGCTCAGGACCTAGTTCACCTATGGGAGATGTTTACTACAAGGAGATAGGAGAGCCTCTACCGCACATTTGACAAGCATCCGAATCATTAATAAAAATGTGGAAGACAATAGGACCAAAGATGATCCCCAGAGCACCCCATCGTAGACCTTTCTGGGTATCCCTGGAGCACTCTGTTGTAGACCTTTTTTTTTTATTTGGTTAGGCAATTGGGGTTAAGTGACTTGCCCAAGGTCACATAGCTAATAAATGTCAAGTGTCTGAGGCCAGATTTGAACTCAGGTCCTTCTGTCTCCAAGGCCAGAGCTTTATCCACTGTGCCACCTAGCTGCCCCTGTTGTAGACCTTTCAAGTTAGCTGTGATCCTCTAATGATTTCCAGCCATTCACTGAGTTCACACCAGCACTCTTTGTACAATGTCATTGGGCTAGTAGATGGAGAGTTCTGAAGACTTACCAAAGGCTTTTGCCCAGGCTTTTCCAAAGCATTTAGCAAGGTCTCTCATACTATTCTGGTAAACATGATGAAGAAAGGTGGGCTCGTGAACAATGATCCAGCTTGGGGAATTCTTTTTTTTTTTTGTTTTTTGTTTTTTTTTTAAATATGAGGCAATTGGGGTTAAGTGACTTGCCCAGAGTCACATAGCTAGCAAGTGTTATGTGTATGAGCTAGGAGAATTCTGAAGCTCAAGACAGGAACCAAGCCTACTTATTTACCCAATTTTTAGCCCAGAGCTGGGCACATAGGTAGGTTTTCATCATGTCCTACAAGCAACAGCACATTGGGCTAGAAGCCAAGGTAATATCTGTCAAGGTTAGACTGTGAGTATATATGGAAATAATGACTTAAAAGGCAAGTCACTAGGCAGCACTAGTATACGTTATCTCCAATTTACAGATGAGGAAACTGAGTCAGGGGTCATAAAGCTAGTAAGTATCTGAGTCAGTATTTGCTATTAGGTCTTTGACCCTAGCTCTTGTTCATCACCAACCTCCAAGCAGGGACTTTACAACCTGTGTGACCTTGGGAAAGTCATTTCACTTCTTGCCATCTCTGATTCCTCTAGGGTAAAATGAGGATGTTGGACTCAAAGATCTCAGAGGTGTCCTCCCACTCTAAATCTGAGTGAGATGTTATAACTTGGGAAGAAATATACTCTCCCCTGCAACAATAGCAATCGCCACCAGGTGGCGGTAGACCACCATGTCAGAGCCTATTCAAGGTCACAGCAAACAAGAAACCCAATTTTTCTGGCATATAACTTGACTAAAGTGAATCTGATTTTGAAGTAAGCACTATGACTAGAGATAAAACGATGAAGAAAGTATTTTTAAAACTATGGGTCAAACGAAGGCCTTCCATTCTTCTTTCCAGTTTAGTTATGGAATCCCAGAGTAGGAGGGGTCAACAGAAGCTGTGTAACCTGACCTCATCCCATGCTGGAGGTCAGAGCTTCAGACTGAACAGCTCGGTGACTCTGGGCCAATTTCCTAATTTCTCTGGGCTTCAGTTTCATTATTTAAAATGAAGGAGGAGTCTCATTCATTCATTCATTCATTCAGCATTCATTAAGGAAAATAATTCTTTGTGCCATAATAATTCTCTCTCTCTCTCTTTCTCTCTCTCTCTTCTTTTCTCCTCTCCTCTTTTCTTTTCTCTGTCTTTCTTATCTATCCCTCTCTTTCCCTTCTCTTCTCTTCCCTTCCCTTCGCTTCTCTTCCCTTCTCTTCTCTTCTCTTCTCTTC